TTCTTTTCCTTATGCAGTTGCATTCACATGATCCGTCACAAGAGTAAATCGCCAGCCTAAGAGGTAACAACGCAGTGTCTCCATAGCCTATTTGACAGCAGGGCATTCTCTCTTGACTACTGCGTACTTCTGTTCTCTTGGGAGCAGCTTTTGCTTAGGTAGAGGATCGGGTGTTCTTCTCCAACCAGTTGTGACAGAACCGCCCCCAACCCCACCTCGGAAGCATCTGTTTGTAAAATAAATTCCTTGTTAAAGTCCGGGGCTATGAGTATGGGGTCATTATAGAGGACTGTCCAAAGGTCTATGAATGCCCCCTCTGCTGCATTGGTTCACTTCACCATGTCTGGACCTCGGGCCTTCACCAGGTCCGTTAGAGGACTTGCCCTAGTGGTGAAGTGGGGAATAAAACGTCTGTAATAGCCTACCACACCTAGGAACGTGCGGACCTGCTTCTTTTGGGTCATCTGGGGCCAGTTTTGAATCACCTCTTGCTTATTCGTTTGGGGCTTCACTATGCCCCTTTCTACAATATATCCCAGGTACCTAGCCTCTGCTAGCCCTATGGCGCATTTAGCGGTGAGGCCAGCCCGCCTTAATGTGCGCAGTACTGCCTCAACTTTCTCCAAGTGGGTTCCCCAGTCTGGCGTATGGATGATGACATCATCCAGGTACGCGGCTGCATAACTAGTATGGGGGCGCAGCAGTTTATCCATGAGGCGCTGGAATGTGGCCGGGGCTCCATGTAGCCTGAAAAGGAGGACGGTGTACTGGAATAGCCTGTCCGGGATGGAGAATGCTGTCTTTTTTTTAAGCTTCTTTGGTCAGGGGAATCTGCCACTACACTTTTGTCAGATCCAGTGTAGTCAAGAATCGGGCACTACCCAGTCGGTCAACCAGTTCGTCAATGTGTGGTATGGGGTATGCATCGAATTGGGATACTTCATTCAGTCGGCCAAAGTCATTAAAGAATCTCATGGTACCGTCAGGTTTAGGCACTAGAATGATTGGACTGGACCACTGACTAAGATTCTTCAGTAACCCCTTATTCTAACATTTTCTTTACTTAGGCCTTGATTTCTTCTCTTTTGGCTGCTGGGATTTGGTAGAGTCTCAATGTTACCTTGGCTCTGGGGATCGTGCAGATATGGTGATAGGTCTCAGTCGTCTGCCCCGGTTTTGTAGAGAACACATCTCGGTTGCGATTAATCATGTTGGTTGCCTCGATCTTTTGGATTGGCGTCAAGTCAGGTGATATCCTCACTTGCTCGTGTAAGTTATCCTCCTGGGGAAGGGTCTCCTGGGTGACTAAGCATGCCTCTCGATCGTGCCATAGTTTTAGAAGATTGATGTGGTAAATTTGCTCTCGTTTCCTGTGGCCTGGCTGCCACACCTTATAGTTCACCTCTCCCATGGCTTCGATCACTTTGTAGGGTCCCTGCCACTAGGCCAACAGTTCACTTTCTGCTATGGGCACCAGGACCATCACTCGTTCCCCTGGTTCGAACCGTCAAAGCTTTGCTTGGTGGTTATAATGAGTTTGTTGGGTCTCCTGTGCTCTCTCCAAGTATTCCCATATAATGGGCTTAACTCGGGCTATCCGATCCCTTATCTGCAGTACATGCTCGACTATGTTCCTTCCGGGATTTGGCTCCTCTTCCCAGGTTTCTCTGGCTATATCCAATATGCCCTGGGGGTGGTGCCCGTATAGTAGTTCGAACGGAGAGAAACCCGTGGAGGCTTGCAGAACCTCCCAGATGGCAACATGAGGTAAGGCAATAGGGTATCCCAATCTTTCCCATCCCAGCTCACCACTTTCCTGATCATGGCCTTAAAGGTCCTATTGAACCTTTCCACAAGGCCATCTGTTTGCAGGTGGTATACAGAGGGCTGTAGGGATTGTATGTGGAGCAGCGAACGGAGATCTTTCATCAACTTGGACACGAAAGATGTCCTCTGATCAGTCAATATCTCCTTGGGTAGCCCAACCCGGGCAAAGATCTGTACTAGCTCCTTAGCTATTGTCTTGGAAGCCGTGTTGCATAGGGGGACGGCTTCCGGGTATCGGGTTGCATAGTTTAGTACAACAAGCACATGTTGGTGGCCCCGAGCTGTCTTCTCTAGGGGCCCAACCAGATCCATGGCTATACATTCAAATGGTACCTCTATTATTGGACAAGCTATCAAAGGGGCCCACAAGTGTGGACATGGGCTATGTAGCTGACGCTCTGGACAAGAGATGCAGTATCGCCGGACATCTTCGTGTACTCCTGGCCAGAAGAACCTCCGCAGGATCCGTGCCTGGGTTTTCTCTACCCCTAGGTGTCCTCCAAATAGGTGACTGTGGGCGAGGCTCAATATGGCTTTTTGATGTTTTCATGGCACAAGAAGTTGATGTATCTCTTGCTCCTGCATTTGCACCACGCGGTACAGGAGATCTTTCTTCACTATAAAGTAAGGTCCTGGACCCCAGACCTTCCCATCCATGGGGATTCCATCTATCTTGGCCACCTCTTTCCTAGCATTATCATATCTAGGGTCCTCTGCCTAGTCCCGCTCGAAAGTCTCTCTCCTGGAACTAACCTGCCCGAGCTCCCAGGGGCCGGCTTCTGCTTCTTCCAACGGCTTGCCACCGTCACGGCTGGGGCCAGCCTCTGGCTCACTTTCCGTGGTCGTAGTTTCTCTGATGGCTGCTCGTGTCCATCTGCCTACTAGGGTGGTCTTCTGGCCCTGGTCAGGATCCAGGTTCCCAAAGCTTTCGCAGCCTTCCTCTCTTTTTTTTGTCTTCCAGGTCTTTGGGGGAGCTGAGAACAGATCCTGAGAAATCTCAGCAAACATCGGGGTTGACATTCCCCCGGCGACGAGTCGCTGTCCTCAGGGTCCCCACCTCCCTCCAGTCTCTCCGGGGGGAGTAAATTATCAAACCGTGGATAGTCCCTCCCAATGACTACAGGATATGGGAGTTTAGGAACTACGCCCACTGTCACCTCAATGGGGTTCCCCTGAACCTCTATCTCCACCAGGATGGTGAGGTAATGGCTCACGGCCCCCTGCACACACGTCACTGCTACGCGTTTGGCTTGTAGCAGCTGGCTACTTTTTACCAGCGTACCCGATATAAGGGTGATAGCACTCCCAGAGTCCACAAGCACTGTAGTCTTTGCTTCGTTTATCTTCACCGGCCTGGTGTAGTTATGCGGGGCTAATGCAACGCATGCAAGGTGGATAAGGGAGCACAGGACCTCCTAATCCCCCCAAGTTACATTGCATAGGCTCCTCGGTGCTGGGACACTCTGCTACTATGTGTCCCCATTCCCCCTATGCATAACATCTATAATTGCTTCTAATCATTCCCCTATCACGGGAGTTAGGGGGTTTAATCCCAGGGTTCCCCCCACTCAGGCCAATCCCTTCCTTCTGGGGTCCCTGCTGGTTTTTGGCCCCCCCTTCTTCCACCTAGGACTCCCCACGGGTTTGGCTGCCCAACCTTCCAGGGTTGGGGTCGGATGCTTGCTTCAAAAGGGGCCTTCCTTGGGTAGTTGGGTCAATTCCCTGGCTGCCATGCGTCTTCCTACCAGCGTGATCATCTCGTCATAGGTGGATGGATCGTTCTGGCCTACCCATTTGTGGAGATCTGCTGGCAGTCCTTGCATGTAATGATCCATGACCAGGGTCTCCAAAATCTCCTCCGGGCTGCACACCGCGGGCTGTAACCACTTCTGCGTGAGGTGTATGAGGTCGAATAGCTGGGACCTCAGGGGTTTGTTCTCCTGATACTTCCACTCACTGGACATCTGTGCCCGTACCGCTGCCGACACCCCTGATCGTGCTAGGATCTCTGCCTTCAGCCGGGTATAGTCAGTGGCGTCCATGGCAGGCAAGTCAAAGTAGGCCTTCTGGGCCTCTCCGCACAAAAAGGGGGCAAGAATGCTGGTCCACTGCTCCTGGGGCCACATCTCATGCTGAGCAGTTCTTTTGAATGAGAGGAGATATGCCTCTACGTCAACTTCCAACGTCATCTTTGGCAGACAACCAGTGGCCCTCAGGGTTCGCGTCCTGTCGGACCCCCGGGCCTGGGTGGTGAGGATCTTCAGCTGGTCCACTACCTCTCGCAAGAGGGCATGATCTTGGGTCGCCTGACCCATTAATAATTGAATGGTTTCCTGCTGTAGCGGCATAGACTCCTGTTGCAGCATTGCCTGAACCCGGGTGGCCTGCTGCTGGGCTGCCATGGCTTGTACCAGAGCTCTTACCACCTCCTCCATTGTGGTACAAAGCAAACAAACAAAAAAATCCAAAACCCCAGTGCACATTTTTTTTTTTTTACCCTCTCTTCCACCACGCTGTGAACGGTGATCCCGCTCCTGAAACCAGTTGTGACAAAGCTCTGTCCTTGTCTCTGTGGGTCCCGCGTTTCCTGGCGGATTTCACTAGCCTCACAGGCTCACTATGATCCTCCATGTAGCCCTTCTCTCTCTCAGTGGTTTGAGCATTGGCCTGCTACACCCAGGGTTGTGAGTTCAATCCTTGAGGGGCCATTTAGGGATCGGTCCTGCTTTGAGCAGGGGGTTGGACTAGATGACCTCCTGAGGTCCCTTCCAACCCTGATATTCTAATTATTTGAAAAAGTGACTCAGTGTTTAAATGTCTGTGATCTCATTTGCCAAGGTGCTAAGCACCTGTAGTTCATGTTGACTTCAGTGAGAGCTACAAGTGCACAGTACCTCTGAAGATCAGGCCATAAGTATTTGGGGTGTCTTTTCTAGTATACGTAAACTGGGCTGTTGTCAGCTGGTGTAAATTGGCATAGCTCCTTTGAAGTCAATGGAGCTACATAGATTTACACCAAATGAGAATCTGGTCCACTTGTTAGTAGTAGTTCTTCAGTGGATGTTCATTTTCCCCAAGTCTTTTTCCTGCTGGTCTCTTGTTGATCTGCTCTCTCATTTTCATTGTTTTTTTTCTTCCACCTCTGATTTATTTCTCCTTCTCACTTTGGACAGAATTTCTCCTTGGATTGGTGCAAACAGCCTGATGTAGGGCTTCCAAAGCCAGATTTGATCCTATTTCTTCAGTTGAGCACGTTGGAGGCAGCAAAACGAGGGGACTTTGGAAATGAACGCTATGAGAACAGCTCCTTCCAGGAGAAAGTTCTACAGAACTACTACCATCTGATAAAGGACAAGACTTTAAACTGGAAGGTAAGGGAATAACCTTCCAGGAAGGCTCTAGATGGGTCAATGAATTAAAACTAAACTTCTCAAGACTTTATCCTTTGGAGCCCCCTTCAAAGAAAAACTGTTGTATAATATAAAGGGTTTTCTAATCCTTGAAATTAAACAGTGAAGACAAAAGTGCTACAATGTAGCACAGTCACAGGGAGGTGCCATCTTGACCTTCTTATATAGGTAGGATGCAGGAATTGCAACTCACCATTTGAATGACTAGAACAATAAGATATCAAGCTTGATATAAAACTAGATCAAGAAAGTAAGTGATCACTTCAGCAGATATTAAACTACTGTTAATTAACCACATTTTTAAAAATACAGAATTTATGTACAACTGCATTGAAAACCTGACTTCCCATTCATGCAGATGGTGACCTGCATTTCCGTGGTCTAGATCTACTGTCTTATTTTCTCTTCTAATGAAAGCGTTGGGCACTGAGAAATGTTTTAAATGTAATGCTTTTATTTTGGAAACAGACAATTGATGCTTCGAAGAGCATTGAAGAGCTGCATAATGAAATTAAGTCTTTCACTGAGGAGGCTATGCAGGAGGTTCAGAATAAGCCCATAGGAGCACTCTGGAAATAGAATTGGCTTTTACTCCACCCTCTTCCTGCAGCATATTCTGCTCCAGATCTGATTGAAGGGGAACTGGCATCTCTCAGATCTTCCTCAGACAGACTCCTTCACCTTTAATAGCTGCAGTTTAGATCACAGAGCATTGTTTTTATAGACCAAAAATACCTTGGAGACCTCTGGTTTTATCTAACTCCTCCTCTGTAAATTGGATCTTACAAGCCATCTTCCTGGTGTATTTTATAAATGCAGACTTTATTGTAAATCTTCCTATAATCCAGGCACAAACCTTGTGCAGGAGCAATGACAAAATGTATAAAACAAGTAATGGTAAGTGGAACTTTTGGCTAATTACCACAATGAGTTATGGTAGTGGGACTTGAGGTGGGGGAGATTGGGTTGTGAATCAAGAGAAGGGGAAAGGGGTTTTTCTACATTTGTACTTAGAGAACTGTCATTTTCCATAATCATATGCCTGTGGGATTCCCCTTCCCATAACTTATTTAACATACTAACTCAAACTCTTAATTTGTGTAAGTCTTGCTAATAAATTAGTGCCTTTTATTTTAGTGTCCTTTTTTGTGACAGCAACAAATATTTAAGTAAGCTGGTTTGAAATCACTTTTGGAAAAGTATCAACCCAAGCCTGTACACTTCCTTAGATGAAAGGTGATCCAGTGTTTCAAACACCAGCCTGGGATGTGGGACACCTAGGTTCAATTTCCTGCTCTGCTATAGACTTTCATTGGGACCAAGTCAATTAGTGTCTCTAGGCCTCAGTTCCCCAGCTATAAAATAGTACCTCCCTATCACTCCTATTGCATAGGGTTGTGGTGAGGATAAATACATTAGAGATTGTGAGGTGCTCAGATGAGCTTGCCAGTAAGAACCTTGGCTCGATAGGTTGCTATAACATGGGACTGGTTTGAAAGGTGATCTGCACACTGAAACTATAATTATCTTTAAACTGAGTTGAGTTCCTCACATAGCCAGGATAATGTGTCAGCAGCTTAAAGTTAAGCTTTCTTGTTTTATGGATCCTGATGTCCAGTTGCTGGACCTTATTTTGTGGTAATGTCCCAGCATACCCCACCATGTCACACCTGCTAGGGACTGTGGTCTTACCTGACTCTCTCAGCTCCTTCCTGGCTGAAACCAGATTCCATGGTGATATTTCTAGAATAGCGTTGTCTGTGTTCTTACATCAAGCAGGAGGCTTGATTGGATGTAAAATTAAAATGTTGGCAGGGTTTTAATTTCTGTAGCTATGGGGTCACTTTAAAAAAAATCTGTCAAAGTCAGCAGTTTATATCTTATGTTGCATTTCTATTAGACAACTGTTGGCTTTTTGATAGGTTGAACACTAGTATAACATACCTTGGAAACAGCTCACCTCATTTGATGAGAGGTCAACACTGCAGCTCTTAGTTATGTCCGGCACTAAAGATTTCCCTTCTGCTAGCTGGAAAATAGGGTTGAACTCCTTGGCCCAGCGCAGACAGAAATTCAGCTATGGAGTTCTAAAGTTTAGATGAGGCTATGCTAACAAGATCCAATATGATGGAAAGAAATTGGGTAAACTCTTGTTTTACTGGAACTGTTTCTTTAAGTATGAGGCTATTGCAGACTTCTCTTTTTGATAACTGTTATAAACAGACTTTAATTTAGCTATGCGTCATTGAGCGTAACTGCTGCAGTAGACTTATTTTTACCATAAAGTTTGTTGAGAAAGGAGGGCCTATGTGGCTGAGGTACAGGACTGGGAAGCAGAGACCTAGGGTCCCAGCCCTTCTGCAAACTTAGTGTGACCTCAGGCATGTTACTTTATTGTTCTCTGCCTTAGTTTCCTTTATGCAAAATAGGAGCAGTACTTCCTCAGCCTGACTCTACACAAACCTAGCTGAAAAAAATGATTTCATATCCCTCACTCTCATAGCTGGATTCAGATGCTGACAGGGATCCCTTTTAAAGGGAAGAGCAGCTCTGTCATCATTAGCAGTAAAATAGGCAAGTGCTGATATTGTCATCTTTAGGCTTCAAAGTTAAATACCTAGAGAGATAAATGGGACACTTCACATCTGACTAGTTTTGACACTTCATATTTTTAAAGTTATCTTTGTAGGCATGAGGGTTAGCAACCTAATTTTTATAAATGAAAACATATTCTAGAACAGTTCTATAGCTAGCACACATGGGATCCTGACTGTAGCTGATAGTCTAGCTTTGCTGTTGGTATTGCAAATAAGCATAGTGGCAGGTGTTTAGGAAAGCAATGCATGTGTTGGAGCAGTTTAAAAGCACAAACTGGTCATTATTTTGTCCTTACACTGGATGCTTTCATCTTTCCCATGTTAATTATCTGCCTTTAACATTTACTGGAGGATGGTGAATTTTTCACCAACTTGTTTCTCTTTAAGAAGCTCTAGCAGTCCAGGACTAAGCCCTATATTCCTACAGGAGCTTGCAATAACTTTGGGAGGGAAAGAGACTGGCATTAGCACTGCAATAAGGGAAGGGGACTCCTGAGGTTGAGAAGAGCGCACTAGTGTTCTGTCTCTTTCACCCCATCCCTTTTAAAAAACAAACAAAAATAACCTTTCCAAGCAAGCATACAGGAAATTGCTCAGTTATCTTGAGCCTGACAGAAGGATTCAAGCCAACTGGTCCAGGACTCTCAACTACATTGAGGCATGGCAGCTTAGCTTAGTTAGGCCTAGCTCCAGTTCCAAGCATCCACTGTGGACTATCAGACACCCTTTGCACCACCTGAATTCTCTTAACAGGTTAGCCACATCCACCTTTGCCACCCAAAGCCTGGTTAAAACTAGATGCCCTAGAACTGCTTCAAGATGGTTTTCCATACTATGGCATAAGCATCTCTGGACAAGGAGTAAAGGGTAAAATACACCTCCCCCCATCCCTAAGAACATGGGCTGTTCCTCAGAAATAAGTACTAAAAAACCCCAAAGATTTGAAGTTTGTTTATTCAGATACAAATTGAAAGCAGTTGGAGGAAGTGGGGCTGTGCTCCATTCATCACTATCTCCCCATCCCCCCTTAAAATTAATGCAAGAGATGAGGAGGAACAGCAGCAGAGAGAAAGCAGCAAGTAATTTAGTGACAGAAGCATCATGGCTCAAGAGTTAAAATCTCTGGGAGATTAAGGGTAGATAATGAGATTAGCATCAATATGTCAGTCAGCCTTGTCATGGAGGAGAGCATTTATGGCCAGTTTATGTACCTTCTGGGCACAAAAGCATCAACTGACAAGTGCTGTTCCCAAATGCAGGAAAATGCATTGCAAACATGGATTTGCCATCTGTAGAAGTCCTGGAGAAAGGAGAAGACTTCACTTCGATGGTGGCTCACACCAGGACACAGTTCTCCTATGCATCTGTTTTTGATCCAGCTCATTTTTACTAAATAGATATTATGGGCCACAGGCAAGATCATGTAAAGTTATTAAAGTAACTCCAAGGTTTCCAGTACAATTGTGTTTGATGTTTAACTATCAACTTTTCTAGGCAACCATTTTTTTCCCTGACCTCTTCAGATGATCACTTAAAATAGGTTTCTTTGGCCTAGCTTCTACAGTATGCGTTTGCCACACTGTGCTAGAAGGATCATATAGAGGGAAGCTGCAGAATAGCATCTGAAATGGTACCAAACAAATATATATTCTATGTCCAATTAAATTTCAAGCCCCCTTGTACATCATTTTGAAAGCACAGAGTCCAATGGGAGCAGTAGCTGGAACTATTCAATCAACCCAGGAGGAGTGGTGCTACACAGGATGCTTTGTGGCACCAAAAACTGTTGGGTTAAGGATTAATTCACAAAGGTGAAACCTTACATACCAACACCAGGCAGCCTATGGAGTCAGGAAAGGGTTTAGGTATGAGAATGAGAATCTACTATGTCCTGTCTTCCTGTTCTGCCTCAGGCCCCCCTCAACCATTTTTAACTAAAAGCAATATCAGGCTCTTAAGATTTATAAACATCTCAACCTCTCACAGGACTCTGTCTAGCTCTCTTAACAGACACTTTAATGAAGACACCTCACTGCTGTATTTGTCAATCCATCTTTTTCAGAGCCTTGGTGTTTCGATGACTCAGCCAGCGAGACTATGGCCCTCACATACATATTTTCTTCCTTCCTCCTTTTATTTAAACTGGCATTCTCCTCCCCTTTTGGTTGTCATCTTCAGACCTTGTGGAAAACCTCAGGGTAATGTCCAGAGAGGAAGTGCTTCACCTCTGAGAGAAGGTTGCCCTTTATAAGAGCAGGCAGCTTCCAGCTATGGTGAAGACAGATAGCACTGTGTTTGTGAGAAAGCACTGCAACTATTATTAAGCATGAGCAGCAGCGCGTGGCCTATTACTATGGAAAACGTGACCATCCAAGTGACTAGCTCACATACTACTGGGCTGGAGACTCCATATGGGACATGCCTGGTATTAATTTACATTGCTTTCCATAAATCTAAGTTTAGCCCAAGTCAGCCATAAGCAGGAAAGCTGTGGAAGGAACTAGCAACAGTATAGGTTTTGACCCCCCAAAAGAGGAATAGCTCTGATTAAATATCACTGGGAAATACTCATAAGGGTTTAGCTCCATGGGGGATTTCTGCTGTTACTCTTGTAGGGGCAGCTGAGCTGCTGCTGCAACAAACAAAACTTTGAACTCCTAGGCACCACTGCATCCACTTCTTGCATATGTTTTGCACTGAGAAATCCTGACTCTGGCCACTGAAGCCTTAATGATGACTTGTTTCTTGATCCCAATGCAGACAGTGCACACTGTGCTTGAGACTGCACAGAATGCTGGGATGGATGGGAGGCAGGGAGGTCACCAAGCACCTATGAAAACCAGTACGGGCCCAGGTGCTCGAAGGAACTTCTTCCCCCCCGCCACGCCCCACACACAACATAGACGTGCAGTCAGTTTCCTATCTATTTTCAAAGAGATAAGATTTCAAAGTCTTCATCCTCCGAATCAAAGAATCTTTCCAACTTGTCTGCATCAGAAGAGTCTGAAAGACAAGAGACAAAACCACCTGTTTAATGTGCCCATTGCTTAAAACAGATTTACACCAAAGCCACTCACCAGCCCAAGCTGTATGAGAGGAAGAGGGGGGCATGATTGGCTGAGGGATTTGTGGGGAGGGAGAGAAGAGGACAGAGCATGCTTTAATAGCAAGTAACAATGGACAATCCACATTACACCTACACTATGTGTGGCACAGGATTTATCAGCTATCCCTAAATGGTATGTTCCTCAGCACTGGATAGTTTGTGTCACAGCCTTAATGTGGCACAACCTTGTGTTCTAAAGTCTGGAGGCTGTATGTAGAAGTGTCAAATGCAGAGACTCTATACACCCATAAATATATATTCTGTACACTATATAGAGAGAGTTCTGATTAAAGAGAGGCTTGGTTCAACTATATCTTTGGAAAGAGTGGACCAGTGCTGTCTTGAGGCTTTATATGGACCATACTCAATCCTCTGTTGCTAGTATTGGGAGATGTCACACATCCCAACACGAGTTGAAGGAACATTTCCTTTTATTAATGCCTTTGATCCAGAACACTAGGAAAGGGCAACACCACAACCCAGATGTTACTGACTCAGCTGAGGCCAGCTCTAGCAGGGAGGTGACACTGATGCAGAGTCCTGTTTCCTACTGATTTGAAGAGTGCAGGCCACGCCGATGCAGCAGGCATTGGTGAATGCCCAGCACACACACTGCCTTCAGTGCTGCTGTGTTGGTCTATGATAGTTTTACCATTAAAGCAGACATGCCAACAGAACCCTCCAAATTTGGAGCTGCCCATAGAGGAAAACTCAACAGAGAGGGGAAAGAAGTGGAACAGAGTGGACCTAGCAGAGACCAACACTAGCTAAAGCAACAAGAATGTGTGTTTTAGGTTTTACCAGAGTAACTAACAGCTAGTGAAATGCTGACTGCACAGCAGGAACAGAGGAGACTAGTCAGCTAAGAATTGGCAGGGCTCCGGGTTGGGGCTCATTCGGTTGGATGAGGGAGCACATGCAAAAGCCCAATGGTTACTGCTTTCCAGTGTTCCAACTAGATTGAGGGCCCACATGTGCACCAAGAGCATGGATGTATCTATACAGAAAACACCCAAGGGGAAGTACTCTCAACTGACGCAATAAGGGAAAAAGCAGCCAATATCTCAAGGAGGACGACTGCAGTAAGACCAAAGTGAGACTGAGTTAATCACAATCATCAGTAATTCTAATGAGGGCCATGGCAATAAGATGAGCAGAAAAAAAAAAAATGGATTGGTAAGGGGAGGGCGAACTGAAGGTGAACAGCCCATTCCAACATTATAGGGAGGAACAAGAGATGGGAAATAGGGAAAAATTGAATTGAGAAGGATTAAGAATAAGGGAAAGGGAAAGCTTTCTTGGAGGAATGGACAGAGTGTGAGATAAGGAAGACTGTGAGAAAGGCAGTGATAGAACTGAGTGTCACAGCAGGGAGAAATAGATAAGAGTGCATGGTATAAATGACAAGACACATCCAGTTCCTGGTAACTACAGAGATGTTTGTCCACAGATATTCCCGATGGCTGGGCCTTACCTGGTGTGAGATTCAGAACATCAGGGCAGGAAAAGTGTGATGGCTGATGTTCTACCAGTTCAAACATTGGCAGAGCTCCTCTTAGCAGGGACAGCTGTGGAGTGAACACAGAAGCCAGCCTATTAGCACAAATATGCTCCCAATCAAGGATAATAGTGACAGCCTCTTCACTCAGGAGCTGGAAGAAAGGTGAAGAATCTGACAGAAAAACTGACTAATATGTTCCTCTTCTCTACCTTTAAACCCCTGCCTTTTCTGGAAGGGAGCATTCATCTAGCTGGTTTCTATCACTAGACAGCAAGGGATGGCAAAGAGGATCCATGCTGCCTTTGGCCCTCCTCCCAGTTGGTAAGAAAAGATCCTGGAAGAGCAGTACATCAGAATACTTATTTTAAAAGGGAGTTCATGTGTAGAGATTTCCTGGTGTAGAGATTGAGAGCAGCCCTATCCTAGGAGCACCAAATACACACAAGCACCAAGGGTAACTAGAGCTTCACAGCATCCAAGGCAAACAGCAGAGCTAGCCTTGGGAAATACTCAAGACATTATCAGGGACTGGTTATATTTGTTCTTCAAGCTAAATGAGTTATTAGTTCTGAGGGTTCAGCTTCTAAGCCCCAAACTAACCAAACCACAGCTTAACTGTATCTCTACAACCTGGGACTGTTAAAGCCACCAAACCTCAAATTAGGCAAGGATGGGGCATGGTTACTATATGGACCTGAGACTCCCATCAACCCCACTTCTCACATATTTCCAAGAAATAAACAAAGGGTGTTCCTTGTGTTCCACAGAGATCCCCCAGTGCCCTGTTTTAGCAGAGGTGTTAGCCTCATTGTCCTCAACAGTTCCAAGGTGGGTAATTCTATTTTGCTCACCCAAATTCCTTATGCAATTTCAGAAGGTTGCGGTGCACTTCAATTCCTTTTCTCATTGCTACTTTGTTAAACTGCTGCTGCAGGGACTGACTGAGGAAACCAGGGGTCTTTCCCAGTCTCTGGCAGACTTCTTGTGACATGCCGGACAAGACACGAATCTCACTCACAGACCTGTCTAATTTTTCTAAAAGTGATTATAATTTTTTTGTAAAGTGATAACTCCTATTTTCAGCCTTGAAGAGCTTCACACATGAATGGTTGTAAGGTGCTTAGAGATCATAATTGAGCTAGTCCCCCCATACCGGTCAATCTGCAGCCTTCAAGGCAAGGCATAGAAGATCACCTCTCAGGCATTGCATTTCTATTTGCTAGTTAAATGTGGGGGGCTGAGTTCTTTTTGGTTTTAATTACACAACTAGTTGTGTACTCTTTAAAAGGTGGTCACCCTGCAGAGTGTGCTGGATGCATTTGCAGAAGTTGGAAAATAATGGAGACAATGCCCTTTACCAGTGACATGGCTGAACACAAACCTTTTTGATTTGCTGGCACCAGTTATTAAAGTCTTCCTCTGTGTTGCAGAAAAAGCCCTGAAAAGAAATTTTGTACAATCTTTATTAGCTTAGAATAAAAACAAAAAGTGTGGATACTGCCTATCAAAGGCACACAGAGAAATGCCAAGCAATTATATGAAATATACATTCTGAACGTTGGCTATGCCAATAAAAATGTTTCTGCTTTTCATGTAGTGACAGAGCCAAAAATTTGAGAATGTTTTTGTAGTTCTAGCCACCTGGCTTTAAACTGCAATTCAGATGGAGCAAAACTGGCTACCTTTCATGGACTTAGGCCAGTCTCTTCCAATACTGAAAACACTGACTATGGTCTCAACTGGGGCACATGATTTACAAGGAGAGGCTGAGGGAACTGCGGTTATTTAGTCTGCAGAAGAGAAGAGTGAGGGGGAATTTGATAGCAGCCTTCAACTACCTGAAAGGGGGTTCCAAAGAGGATGGAGCTTGGCTGTTCTGAGTGGTAGCAGCAGGGCCGCCCGGGGGGGGGGCAAGTGGGGCAATTTGCCCCGGGCCCCACAGGGGCCCCCACGAGAGTTTTTCGGGGCCCCTGGAGCGGGGTCCTTCACTCGCTCTGGGGGCCCCGGAAAACTCTCACGGGGCACGGGGCCCCGGAGCTTCTTCCGCTCCAGGTCTTCGGCGGCAATTCGGCGGCGGGGGGTCCTTCCGCTCCAGGACCCGCCGCTGAAGTGCTGGGTCTTTGGCGGCCCGCGCCGCCGAAGACCCCAGGCCCCCTGAATCCTCTTGGCGGCAGATGACAGAACAAGAAGCAATGGTCTCAAGTTGCAGTGGGGGAGGTCTAGGTTGCATATTAGGAAAAACTATTTCACTAGGAGGGTGGTGAAGCACTGGAATGGGTTACCTAGGGAGGTGGTGGAATCTCCATCATTCGAGGCTTTTAAGGCCAGCTTGACAAAGCCCTGGCTGGGATGATTTAGTTGGAGATTGGTCCTGCTTTGAGCAGGGGGTTGGACTAGATGACCTCCTGCGGTCTCTTCCAACCCTAATCATCTATGATGGAAGTGACATGGGGACAGAGCCAGCCCAATTGGACACACAGTTCAGACATTTCAAATTTACCTGAAAACAGAGTGTCACTTGGGTCCAGAGGTGCCGACTTTCTAATGGCTCTGCCCCAGGCCCTGCCCCACTCCACCCCTTCCCCCAAGCCTCCACCCTCACCCCACCTCTTCCTGCCCCTTCCCACAAGCCCCCACTCTCACACCACCTCTTCCCATCCCCGCTCCACCCCGCCTCTTCCCTCTCCTGAGCATGCCCCGCCATCGCTCCTGTCCCTCCCTCCAGCGCTTCCTGCATGCCACGGAACAGCTGATCCGCAGCGGCAGGAGGCGCTGGGAGGGAGGGGGAAATGCTGATCGGTGGGTGCTCAGCACCCACCATTTTTTTCCCCGTGGGTGATCCAGCCCTGGAACACCCACGAAGCCCTGGAGCACCCACGAAGCCAGCGCCTATGCTTGGGTCATCTACTTCACCAAAAGGCAGGGTGCAAATCCAGACTGCAATTCAGAGATGGCAGAACCTCAGAATTATTAGGCTGCTGTCAGATAAAGTCAGGGGTACAGAAGAGGCAACGTCTCTCTAGGTACCCTTCACTATACCCTGGGGCTGGAGTGAATTCTGGGACTGTTTATGATCTCCATGGGTCGATGCATTCACTTTATTTTGGACTTGCCTGCAGCACTTGCCACACTGCATGACAGACCCTTAGCAATTAGTCACTGTGTAGATGTAGCAGTGTAAGGGTTTTTTTTCCCCTCTACTGAATTGTTTCATGCAGAAGAGTTATTTTTGACCAGTTTTAATTTAAGTCAGGGTATGGAAGAGTTTGCCAATAGGACTGGCAAGTAAATAGCATCTGCATCAGCAGACTTGTAGGGAGAGGAAACAGCCAGAAAAGAAGGGAAGGCTGAAAAAGACGGTTTCAACTGCTACAGTGGCACGACTGCAAAGACAGGGTCAAGCTCTCAACAGCTGCACAGAAACAAGTCACAGGTACACACCACTGCGATGGATGGGTCAAGTTCAGCAATGCTCATTCGGCAGGGGGGGTGCTGACAGTGGAAGCTCTCATCAGGGATACAGCCATTGTCACTGGGTTCCATTGCAGGTTGTGTAGTGTGGGGGTCCAAGTAAATTAGCTCCTCACCTGGACAAATAGAGGAGAAATTAACAGGGTATGTCGCACCAGATGAGCACCTTGTGAGTGAGTGAGTGGATAAAGGTCACTAACACATCTTTTGTCCCTTCATAATCAGTTCATGATTTGGAAAACAGAAGGAAGAGGAAAAAAAGACAGGTGCTCACAAAGGAAAAGAGGGAGGAGAGGGTAAACAAGTTACACAAACCCATGAAGGGGAGTCAGCTCTGGATCTAGGACAAAGTCAGACAGACCCATCTGCTGCAATTTAATTCTATGAGAGGAATGTTCCACAAGGAATAGCACTTTAGGGTTTGTGTAAGAGAGTCTATATCCATGGCTGCAGTCACCCTGGATCCTCGCTCACAAGGAGGCTTCTCACAGCACCCTCAAGCTGTTCTAAAGTAAAGGGAATAACACTCTGGGGAAGGTGAGGGCAAGTTGGGGGAGGGCTGCACTGCTCCACAGTCACTCCCCTATCTGTGGGCAGACATCTCAAGACAGACTGGACACCTCCCTAACATGGCACAAAGCTAGGCTGGTTAGTCACTCACCTACATAGCCAATGAAGTAATGAGCACTGTTGGGTTTCCCTCCAATCACTCCCAGGGACTGAGGCATCATGAAGCAGTGCTGGAAAGCAAGAGAGAACATGGGCAGATGGCAGGCAGCAGCAACTAGAGCAAGTAATCAGAAATCAAACTCAAAGGCAATCACTGTGATAGTGGCACATGCTGGGCTTCTGAACCGTGAGCAAGCCCAGCAGCAGAAGCAACGGTTTATGGTAGAAGGTCTCTGCCAGGAGGGAAGGATGCTGCAACATGGAGCCTTCAAGGGAAAGAGGCTCAGAGAAGCCTTAGAGCCCTGGAGAAGTAGACCAAGAAGAAAAAGGGGCAGGAGGAGGAAGAAGAGATGAGACTCCAGACATTGCATGGTGCAATCTGCACTATGGTCACAAATTCCATGAGCAACTGAGCAAAACCCTCGCTCCACTCAGTCAATGACTAAGCTCCCATTGACTTTAGTAGTGTCAGGATTTTACCCTAAATCTTTTGTCAATGGATCTGCAATAGCACTCCCCAGGGAATTACATTGTTCCAAATGTTCTTGGGAAATGGATGAGAGAATTTAGCATCCACATTGCTGAATCCAAGCACAATTCAGTGAATTCAGGCCAAGTATCCAGCCTGACTTCAGAGTGCCCATACTCACATAGCTGAGGGACTGACACCACTGTTAGAGCAAGACACTGTGCAACCTTCTTCACAAAGTTAACGTGTGCCCCTCAGAACCTGATCTCTGCCAGCCTCGTCTGCTCCAAGGGCTGGTCTGGAACCCCAGAGTTCTGCTCACCTAAGTTCTGATTTGCAGCACACACAGCTCTGACACCATAGCCAGATGTGGACTTGCAGCACACAGCACTTAAAGCTCAGGTTGCTGCCAAGCAGAGACTGGCAGTCATGCTGAATGCTCTGGTGGCTTGGGTTGGGTACAGACACAGGTAGGGACAGACATTAGATCATGGGTAAAATTCTCAGAAGCACCTAAAAATCTCATTTTCAAGAGTGACTTAACCACTTTGGCTCTTAAGTCCCATTGACTGTCAAGGAGACTTAGGCACCTAAACACCAATGTCTCTCTTGCAACTGGAACTTGGGCACTTATGAACATTTTGCCCCAGAACCAGTTTTACACCTGACCTAATCAAGACTTATTCCTTGGCTCTCAGCAGTAAAACACTGGAAAGTCAGCTCACCCATGGCCATGCCAAACAGCACTAATTCCCCTACCTTTAGTGTTTCAATATAAGCTTCATTGATATCCGTGAGCCCAAGGCGAAGAGGTATCAGGAGTACCAATGGTTTCCATTGCGACAACCTATCTGTAACCTCTGCTCCATCCGGGAACCCATTATAGAGCAGGTCTGACTCTGCAGCAGGAAACGCTGCAGCCCCAGCACACAAGAAATTGGACTTGCATAACCGTCCTACAGAAAGGGAGCACACACACAAGCAGAAATGGTTTCAGGAAAAGCATCAAACAGCTTCTAGTCCTTGAATACTTCTCCCCTAACTCTTCCCCCCCCCCCCCCCCACTGCCGCCTCAGTGCTCAACAGAAACTGCCATCTAATTTCTCAGAGCTACATGACACTTAAATAAGCAGCTGGTTTAAAGAGCAAGCGCTTTGCTTGAGTTATATATTCTCTCCAGAACCCTCTGGTAAAGTTCACATTGATGTAAACTTATTTTAGAAATCCTGTACATCAAGCCTTTTACACCAAAGCACTTAAAACACTCATGGTATGTCTACACATCAATAAAACACCCGTGGCTGGCCTGTGTCAGATGACTTGGGCTTGCGGGGCTTGGGGTGCAGGGCTATACAACTGCAGGGTAGATATTCAGACTTAGGCTGGAGCCAGGGCTCTGGGGCCCCATGCGAGGGAGGGTTCCAGAGCCCTGACTCCAGTCCGAGCCTGAACATGTACATTGCAATCTTAGAGTCTCACGATCAGAGCCCAAGTCAGCTGACAGGCCAGCTGCAGGTGTTTTATTGCTGTGTAGACATACCCACAGGGATCATGTGGGGCACCATTAAAAAGCAGCCATCTTTAGGGCAGCAATGCAAGAACCAGCAACTGCCCTGTGCCAGCAAGATTAAACAGTACACTTGTGAGAAGAGGCAAAACAACTATGCAATTGAAATCACAGGGAGAATTTAGGTAGAAAGAATGTAAGTGCTTGAGTTGTAATTTGGTCAGGACACTGGGGCTGAACACAGGAGGTCTTCATCTGTAATAAGATACAAACGGAGCACTAAATAGCCACACTAAGAGTCTTACGGGGACCTTTCACGGTACTTAAGTCTTCAAAGACAGACAACATAGGATTTCTGACAAGTATTCTTGCCAAGGTCAGGCAGGTCAAATGAAAGGAGTCCAAGAGACAATTCCAGGGGTATCCAAAGTTGGAGTGTTCAAAAATTCTGGAACCTCAGTTAACTAAGATCCCTTAAAACAAAACACATCTGCATCAGCTCTGACAAACCATGACAGTGTCTTTACAAGCAGCAGAGTTGACTACGATTAGGGGTATTTCAAGAAAGCTTTCAGTTCTAATACCTTTTTTCGGTTGTCTGGTTCCACAAAATAGCTTCCAAGCAATCCCAAATTTTCCACTCCATGAGACCTTCCAGCTTGCACCATACCAGTGAGGATATTGACAAGTGGAGTCTGCCTAGGAGGGTAATGTGAGGGATACTATCAACACAATGCATGCTGTGAAGTCAGGGATCATTCAGAAGCTACTTTAAGAGCCCTAAGGGGAGTGGAGGAGGGAAAACATTATTATAATTGGGAGGTACTTTACATTTCAAGGTGGCTTCATGTTTTAACAGTGACACTTAGAACAAACAGCTGTCCATTTAGAGTACTGTACAAATACTGATCCTCACAGCACACCTGTGAGGTGAGCACTGAGTACCCCCATTTTACAGATGGGGAAACTGAGGCAGAAAGTTTAGCCAGGTTGCTGAAGGCCACCCAGCAACTCAGTGACAAACAGATTTTCCCATTACATGGGAGTTTCTGACCCCTACCCCCAATTACACTTCTCTAGGCCTTACTGCCTCACTTGCTAAGTCTACCGCTCCATAGAAAACTGTGGTGTTATTTTATAGTAAAGTGATGCAGATTAACAATTGCAAAGCAAACAGAAAAGGTGGCCCGAACAAGAAGCTGCAGCCATGTATGGCACAACATGTGTAAGTACTTCCAGGCATCTGCAGTTCAAGCAGGGCACTTGTTTGCCAGACCTATATCCAACTGCACCAAGAGAAGGTGCTATAAGGACACAAAGCATTCGCAATGCATAAATGTCTAGTTGGCAGCCGGTATCAAGCCGAGTGCCCCAAGGGTTGGTCCTGGGGCCGGTTTTGTTCAATATCTTCATTAATGATCAGGAAGATGGTGTGGATTGCACCCTCAGCAAGTTTGCAGATGACACTAAACTAGGAGGAGTGGTAGACACACTGGAGGGTAGGGACAGGATACAGAGGGACACCTAGACAAATTAGAGGATTGGGCCAAAAGAAATCTGATGAGGTTCAACAAGGACAAGTGCAGAGTCCTGCACTTAGGACGGAAGAATCCCATGCACGGCTACAGACTAGGGACCGAGTGGCTAGGCAGCAGTTCTGCAGAAAAGGACCTAGGGGTTACAGTGGATGAGAAGCTGGATATGAGTCAACAGTGTGCCTTTGTTGCCAAAAAGGCTAATGGCATTTTGGGCTGTATAAGTAGGAGCATTGCCAGCAGATCGAGGGACATGATCATTCCCCTCTATTTGGCATTGGTGAGGCCTCATCTGGAGTACTGTGTCCCGTTTTAGGAACCACACTACAAGAAGGATGTGGAAAAATTGGAAAGAGTCCAGCGGAGGACAACAAAAATGATTAGGGGGCTGGAGCACATTACTTATGAGGAGAGGCTGAGGGAACTGGGATTATTTAGTCTGCAGAAGAGAAGAATGAGGGGGGATTTGCTAGCTGCTTTCAACTACCTGAAAGAGGGTTCCAAAGAGGATGGATCTAGACTGTTCTCAGTGGTAGCAGATGACAGAACAAGGAGTAATGGTCTCAAGTTGCAGTGGGGGAGGTTTAGGTTGGATATTAGGAAAATCTTTTTCACTAGGAGTGTGGTGAAGCACTGGAATGGGTTACCTAGGGAGGTGGTGGAATCTCCTTCCTTAGAGGTTTTTAAGGTCAGGCTTGACAAAGCCCTGGCTGGGATGATTTAGTTGGAGATTGGTCCTGCTTTGAGCAGGGGGTTGGACTAGATGACCTCCTGAGGTCCCTTCCAACCCTGATATTCTATGAAACGGAAAAATTTGGAGGCATTGGTTTGTGTCATACTAGGTATATGAATGACTGGGCAGTACAGCTTTTTGTTTGGGCTATTTGCAGACCCTTCTCTAAGGTACTTCTCCTATCTGAGTCCATTTATTTTTTCATTTGCCATCACTGGGTTAGTGGACTGATCTGGCCATCCTGTAAAACTTTTTGTATTTATTCCGTACCCTCGGAAGCATTATTTGGTTTTCCTTCCAAGACTTTCCTGCCAGCAGTCTGAAAAATCTTGTCACTCTTATTGCAGCTATTTGCTCTGTTGCATTACAAATCACTACCTGGATTTAGCTATTTGCAACCATTCTGTGCTTTCATCCCATTTATAGTTCTGAAATTCTTTATCTTTGATCTCGTGTGCTCCTTATGTCCCAGCCTCCTTTAAACTGAAACTTCCTAACAGTGCTTTGGGTTTAAGTGATTTACTCATACCATGTTCCATTAGTTGTCCCCCGTATTCATTTGGTTCCTGGGTCCAGTGGTCCCTCCCACTAGGCTTGGGGAGGGGCCTTTTGAAGTGGGTGGGAACAACCTCCCAGGTTTTCCAATAAGGCTGTATAGACTTCCAGGCTTGGCCCGAGCTCTGGGACCCTCCCACCCTGCAGGGTCCTAGAGCCTGGGCTCCAGCCCAAGCCCAGAAGTCTACACAGCAATGAAACAGTCCGGCACCCCAAGACCTGCACACCCGAGTTGGCTGGCACAGGCTAGCCGTGGGTTTTTCTTTGCTGTGTAGGCATACCCTTTGGTTCTAACCCACCTGGCCGTGGTTTTGGACAGGGCATTTACTGTAAGTTTGGTTGTGTTATACTGCAATTGCTCTTCTGGTTCCTTCCATACGTCTTGCAGCCAGGGCACACAACTTTGACTCCATCTGTTATACTTACTGATTTCTTCCATCACTACAGTGTTGTCCATGGCTATGTGCACTGCCAATGAGCTCCATGTATCAAAAGTGGCAAGTTTTCTACAGGAAAGAGAGAGAAGTAAATTGAGGACTAATTACAAGGCACTAAGCAAAGGCATGGTTCTAGCAGAGAAGAACTTTCACTATTTCCCCTATAGTTTTCATAAAATGAGATACTGAACTAGAGAAGATACTGGCTTTCACAGTTTGTGCCAGTCCTACCTCCTCTCAGAATTCATAGCTTATCCAGTCAAAGCAGTGAGGGAAATGCTGTAGGGAGAGAAAATGCCTCTAACCTACACTGGTGATTGAACAACAGTGCACTATTATCATGTCCAATTCCTGCAGGTAACAGTGTACTCCCACACAACTCTCTCCCTGGGCTCACCACCACAAAGCCCCAGTGGGAAATAATTAAAAAAAAAAAAATTAAGGTTTACGCTTTATTCTGCCACTGCATTAGTCACTCAAATGGCGAGACTGCCTCTGTCCTTGACTCTTAGGGAATACCACTGCCGTCAAGGTCTGCAAAGGCAGTCCTCAGATGAGAACACAGATTCAGAGATGTTAAAGCCAGCAGAGACCTTATCTAGTCCTGTACAACACAAGCAGAGATTCCAGCAGCAAGCCCAATACCTTGCCGGGCCTAGAGACAGATTCTTGGAGGACTGTCCTCAACTGGAGTTCACTTGTCTTTTTGGTCCACCAAGCCTGGGAGCAAGGGGTAAAGTCTATCTCCTCTCTCAAGGTTTTGCCCCACTGGGATTGATTTCACAGGGAGTTGGGAGACGATTTGGTTGGGACACCACACTATTCAGCATGATTGCTTTTATACGGCACACTGCATCCAGAGACTTGGGCAATGGGCAGTTTGACTGAAAAGTAAAAAACTACCCCATCGCATTGCACAGAATGAACAAAAGGTAAAGCCCAGCACTTACTTGAGCACTTGTGCAACTGTGTTTGGTCCGTACCACTGGCCTATCGATTTGCCCTCTCCAACTCCCATCTGGGCTGCACCAAGTAGACACAACCAAATTAGTCAGCAGCCTCCATCGGTTATAAAAAGGATTTTATGGGAAAAGCTACAGCTTGGGTCTGGGCTACACTAAAAGGTTAGGTGAACCCAGCAACGTCTATCAGGGGTGTGAAAATTCCACACCCCTGAGCGATGCAGTTAAACTGACCTATCCCCAGTGTCGACAGCACTACGTCAACAGAAGAATTCTTCCATCAGCCTAGCTAATGCCTCTCGGGGAAGTGGATTACCTTACACTGACAGGAGAACCCCTCCTGTCAGCATAGGTAGTGACTACACTGCAGCGCTACCGCTGTAGCATTGCAAGTGTAGACAAGCCCTTAGACATGCTTTGGAGTCAGATCATGCCATCTTGCCTGGGGTGTGACAAGATCATAGCACCTCATGTGACTATAACAACGGCCCTCCCAGTCACTTAAGAAGCCATATTAATAGGCTCCAAAAAGGAGTCTCAGCCATACTCTGCTGGAAGCAAGATGGGTTCAGGGCTCAGGAACGAGACAAAGGGAATTCCTAAAAAGGCTAAGAACTGCAGATGCTTCAGAGGAAATGCTATTTAGAAGCAATTCTATTTAAACAACAATGCCTGATTTTTCAGAGGTGCTGAGCACCCACTGTTCCTGCTTTCTAACTAGGAGTGCAGGTGCTTAGCTCCTCCCAAAAAAAAAAAAAAAAAAAAAAAAAAACCAGGCCCATTGCCATTTTTGCTTTGCTTTTCCTTCATCCTTAGAACACTTGCGCCCAGACAGGATCTTTGTGGAGTTCATGAGCGCCTCCTACTCATTTCCCCACCTGATGCAATCTTCTTGCTTGCAAGATTCCTATGTAGCTGCTGTGGGCATGACTCGTCATATTCTCTCTCCCGTCTTGAGATGGCAAGTACAAGGGAGATAAGGATACTGGCTGACAGGATTTTCATGTCACAAATCCTTCAACCCTTAAATCAATAACCTTAGTTTTAGGCAATACTACATAGGAAGCAGTGCTGTATAGATTTCATTCATATACAGCAACACAAATACATAGAAGCTGATCTGAACACACTTTACCACAGCCCTTAGCAAATTATTTGTACATCAATCACTCACAAGTAGGTTACTTCTGAAGTTGCTGTGCTACTAAAATAAACCTGAAGAATCTGTTGCTGTTCTGTAACATTCAGGGAAGCCCAGGGCAGGACACTCCTATCTACAACTTCCTCTTACCTATCTGGTGGATGGAGTAGTAGCTGTCTTTTTTGTCAATGAAGGCATTAAGTATGTTGAAGTAATTATCCGTCTGCCTCTTCCCTTTCACCCACCTCCAATCTAAGAGATACAGGGGGAAAAAATAGGTTACTTACTAGTATACTTCTCCACATGTCACTGCTTAGTAGGATTTCCTTAAAGCTATGAGTCAGAAGTCTTATTACTAGGGACCTGTGAAGATCCCAAAAAAGGACCACGTTTAACAAGTAAAAGGGTCTTTTCAGAGGTGGGAATTGAAGACATTGTAAAAATCAATTCCAGGACATGCATTGACCCTTCTCTGTCAGGATGCATTGGCTCCCAAGGAGAGGGAATACCAATGTGAAAAATCTCACACCCCCGTAAAATCCTGCAAGCGTGAAAGAACATTGGAATTTCTAGTGCCCAGAAAGTCATTGCAGAAGTGGGGCAGTTGGTTTGGGAAGGACAGGATGCCAGTGCCACAAGACGTCTCCTGCCAATCCACAGAACTTTAGCAGCAGCAGCCACAGAAGAGACCATGTATCACAAAGTGTCAGCTGGCTACAGGTGTCACTTCTAGAAAGGTGGGATTCAGGGAGAGACCTGAAGGCATCTCAGCAGAAGGTTAAAAATAAAACTAACAGCTGCTTATCGTACAGCAATTTTAACCACCGTAAACGTTTCAGGCATACAAACCTGGGAAGTTTGGGGCTCTCTTGGCTAGCCCTTTCGGGGGTCTAACACAAAATGGCATTCTACTCATTTTGGGGAATGGGGAAGAAAGTTTGCAGTAATTTAAAAAAGCTCAGCAAACAAAACCACGGTCTAACAGTCAGCAGAATATCTGCAGGCTGCCATATCAATAAATCCAAATGCTAGGGTCTTTTCCACCCAGGAATGACATGATCTTGTCTCCAAATACCCACTGGTACAAGGGAAAGCAAGCTGCTCCACTGGTGCAGAGGAATTTACAAGAACATTTTTTTACTGGCTAGCACAGCCTTTGCCAATTGTCCATACAGATTTATTGATGTTGATTTGGAAGGAAGAGATGTTAGTGAAACTCACTGGGATGTTTCCATTGGGGCTGCTTCATCATCTAGCTCTTCAGGTGAGAAGAGCTAGGGAAACTTTACATGGAGCCCACAGCAATTTCAAGTTGTGCCCTCTCTCTTTGTTGCCCTAACAAGTGCACCATCATTTGGACTGGCTCTGGACACCTCCCTTAAAGATGCATTGATTTACCTCTGCCTAAGTGCCGGCAGACCAATGCCTGAGCGAAGATCATCTGACCACACCTCAACATGCAGCCCCAGCCGGTATCAGACGTGGGGCCTGTTCCTCCTGTAGTCAAGCAAAACAATCAGAACAGAATGTAAGGGTTAGACCAGCTGTCTAGTCACAGTGCAATACAATGGCAGGTGTGGGAGGGAGAACGTGGAGCTCTCTAGGTATGCAAGGTGGGCGTTATGACAACAGAGACTCATCTGTCAGACAATGATGCTGAGGAATAAATATAGATTTAAGAGGCAAACCCTACCACCAGACCTTTAAGAAAAATAAAGCCAGGCATTTACAGAAGACGGATGAGTTTCAAGTAAATATCCAATTCAGACTGGGGAATGAGACATGGGATCACACCAGCCCTCAGGCATGGATCTGTGAACAAATCTCCAGCTCAAGCTACCAGACACCTATTTATTTATTTCAGATAAAGGTGTTTTATGGACTATTCTCCCCATAATCTTCACCCAGATCTTACACCTGCTAAGGCACTTCACCACGAAAACAAGGCGAGGACTCTACCCAGCTGCTGATGGCTAGACAAGGTTCCCAAGTGAATATAGAAATAAGCCAAAAGACAAAGGGTAATTAGGCTGTTGGTTCGTGTTATTGGCATGCAGAGGCTAAAAGCCAAAAGACTTTAAAAGCACATCCTATGGCAGAACTTCAAAGAAAGCTGCCACTTCCCCTCCCAGGCTAGGCCATTGCACGGCCAGCTGTTAAGATAAAGTTTAGAACACTGAGAGTGACCAGAACTAGTGGGCTGGTTTTACAGACTCAGCTGCTCCTTAATACACTGATAGCATGAAATTTTTTGCAATTATTTTCTCTTCTCTCTGGTCACTTTATATCCAGGGTGTAGGGAGATAGAAAGTAAAAGCGCCAAAAGAGGAGACCACCACCCAGACTCATGCCAGTATGTTAGATCAAGTTCTCCTATTTGGTCAGCAGAGCTCTCCTTTAACCAGGCTGGTGGTTTGTCACTTACAGAGGACTCAAAAACATGCTAGGTGGTGTACAGAACAAATGCATTGCCCTTGTCTTCAAAAATTTGCAATCAAATTTTAAATGTCACAATGGATGGGAGCAGCCAACAATGGAGAGGGTAGTGGGGAGATGGGGTGAGAACAAGGTTTACAGCAGTAATAAGATCAAATGGTTACTTGATTACAGCATGGGCACGTCTTGGGGCTTCCTTGGAAAGTCATTGCTTGCATGGAAGCAGCACAGAAAAAGGTGCAGAGATGGGAATGGAAAAGAGCGAAAGGGCTGTTGAAGCATACATTTAAAGAGCTGTGGAAGCTTGTTGGGCCACAGGCACTTTATCTCGTGCTTCCCCTAGTACTTTTTGGGGGGTCCCTGCTGTTTCACTAATAGAGGAGGAAGTTCGCATCTGTGGTCTTGCTACTGTCTACTGTAAACTGGGATAGCATTAATCAAGTTAATAAATTAAGCCTGTAGAAGTTTAAGTTAACTGATATTCAGGGGAACAGAGACACACATAACAGAGACTGATATTCAGGAGAACAGAGGTGGGTGAGGTAATTTTTTTTATTGGACCAACTTCTGTTGGTGAGAGACAACTGTCGAGCCACACAGAGCACTTCTTCAGGTCCTCTTCTTCTGCCATCCCGGCCTCAAAGGATTTTCACAACAACGATGACACCACTCACAATGACCACATCCCCACCAACAATCATAAGAAAAAAATAATCATGTGATTGGGCACCACAGAGCGGATGAAACTGCACTCATGATCATTACATTGATTGCTTCAGGGGAAAAATTGACTGCAAAATCCTTAAATATCACATCCACCGTAATCTCTCCACTACTAAGAGGACACCCATACAGTCTGTGAAATCTAACTACAAGATAATGATCAAGCCAGCAGGTCAAGCCACGATAGTCCTCAACCATGATGTCACTGATAAGGCCAACTGACAACTCTCCAAACACCACCTACTATAAAGAACTGAAAGACAACCGCACACCACAATTTACCCAGGAACTTAGGGATCTCATCAAATCCTTCCCCGAACAACTTCAAGAGAAACTCTACAACTTCGTCCCCCAGGAACCCACCCCAGGGACCTTCTACATTCTTTCCAAGAATACACAAACAAGGGAACCCAGACAGATCCATCATATCTGGCCACAACACTCTTACTGAAGGAATATTGGAAATCACTCAAACAAAAGACCAGCTTCCTTGCGGACACACAGACTTCCTCCACAAACTCCACAACATTAACAACCGCCCTCGGAACACCATCCTCGCCACCATGGATGACACTTCCCTATACAACATCCCTAACAATGATGGCATAGCTGCCTACCTCAAATATTCACAAGACAATGGACAACCCTCAGATATCCACCCCAAACACATTGCCAAACTCATTCATTCCATCCTCACCCATAACAATTTTATATTCAACAAACACACACTTTCTCCAAACCATGGGAGCAGCCCTGGGTACTAGGATGGCTCCCCAATATGCCAACCCCTTCACGGGCTACCTTGAAGAAAAATGTCTAGACAAATGTATGACAAAACCAATGACACAAAAATTGATGATCTTTTCATCTTCTGGACAGATGGCTTAAACTCCCTTATAGATTTCCACCACAACTTCAACAACCACTACACGTCCATTAAACTCTTTCTGGAACAATCCCACATGAGTATCAACTTCCTGGATAGCAACCAGCTTCAGCAATGGAATCCTGCAGACAACCACACCAGAAACCCACAGACCACCACACCTACCTTCATAGATCCAATGACCACCCTTAATACACCAAGAAATCTGTTACCTACAGCCAGACACTCAGATACCACAGAATGTGCTCAGAGGAGAAAGTCCGGGATATACACCTTAACACACTTAAAACTGCCTTCACCAAACAAGGACATTCCACCAGAGAATTAGATCGCATCATGGCAAATACCCAGGAGAGAACCTGCTTCAATACAGAAATAAACCCCCCTAGTCATCACCTACCACCCCATACTGAAACCCATATGGGGTATCATCATACTACAATCCATACTCAATGGGGATCCCATCCTGAAACACATCTGTCCTGAACCCGAACTTCTAGCATTCAAACAGCCCCCCCAAACTCTCCAAGCTCATCATCAGAAACAAACTCCGCACAGACCAAAAAACATACCAACTCAAAGCGGCACCATCCCCTGCCAGAACAGATGCAAAATCTGCAGACATGGCTCCACAGCTAAAATGATCAACACCCACCCCCCAACATATCTTTCAAGACCCATGGATCCGACACATACCTATCACAATATGTGGTATACCTCATCCAGTGCACTAAATGCTCCAACCACCACCATGTGGGTGAAACCAATCACTACGCTCTCGAATGAACTCACACAGGAAAATGATAAGACAAAACACCCTATCACCTGTGGGTGGACACTTTTCACCAGGGCTTTGGAGCGGAGCCCAGAGCAGCTCCGGAGCAGTGGAGCTGCAGGTTTTTGCCTGGAGCTGGAGCACAGCTCCAAAGCCCTGCTTTTCACAATGCGATCAATCACTATATCTGACCTATCAGTCCTTATCCTCAAAGGAAACCTGCACAAACACTTGCAAAAGATGAGCCTGGGATCTTAAATTCATTACTCTGCTAAACACTGAAAATCATGGACTGAACAGACAAACTGGATTTGTGGTTTATTACAACAATCTGTAACCCACTAACCCCCTCTTTTTGTCCTATGACTGCAGAGGTGTTAACAGGCCACTCTACTTTAAAATGGTCCCTTAGAACGTGATAACTACTTACACTAAACGATCTGTTCCACCTTGCATTTAGCTGCGACATGTGGAGTACCTTTCCCCGACCTGCAAAAGAGCTCTGTGTGGCTCGAAAGCTTGTCTCTCCCCCCCCACAGAAGTTGGTCCAATAACAGATATTACTTCACACCCCTTGTGTCTCTAATATCTTGGGACTGACACAGCTACAACTATGCTGCATTCAGGGGAACAAGTTAAATTCATCTAGGGTTTATTTAATTTACACAGAGATTGAGATCAGATTGAGACTTGCTAAAACATTAGCTAACCCTGATCTAACCTCAACCATAGTGAAAGGGGTTAACCTCTGTACTCAGTCAATGTTAACCCGCAGGAATCAGTCTAAGCTTCAGTGCAACCAGCTAGCCTGTATTAAATTGTGTCTGCAGTAGGTGTTAAGGGGGGTTTCAAATCCCATTAGATAATTGATTTTAAAGAATTGGAAGAGGAGATCATTCTGTACCATTGTATCTAGCTCAAAATTCCAGATGTTTTGAGAAGTCTTATTTCTGAGTCAATAAACCACTATTCTATTGGAAGGGCACAGATATATAATTCCATTTGCACACTATTAGGACCTCCTCTGATTTCCATCCCATTTTTATATATAAAATTGCACAAGAAGAAAACAGAATCATCTTCAGGATGAGGACCCATGAAAACTAGCCATTGATCCAGAGGAGAATTTTCATTCCATCACTACAGTTCATCCCATTTGCACATATTCCTAATATGTTATACACAATTCCATGGTAGATGCTTTAAGGTGCAATTTCTTTATTCCACCTCTAGCTTTTATCTCAGCTCTTTGCTTCAGTTTAAGTACAATACAAATCACATACAGATTTTATTAATGTTTAATAAAAGTTTTGTAAATGAGTTCCGATAGTTCACAGATTAGGGACCCAATTTTATGGGGTTCCAGGGGCTTTTGTATAGATGATTTAGGTTAATCTTTCTATCTATCCAATGGGACTCAGTGCTCAGTGTAGAAGATATCAGAGATACTTAGTTTTGCAGTTCTCAAACTGTGGATTTGTGTCTCCAGAGATAACATGCTTGTTAACAGCAAAAATGTTTTAAATAAATAGGGTTGAGGTCTGTTATTTCTCACCTCTATTGTCCCTCTGCAAATTTGTGTACATAGAGTCAATCCCTTACCTTTCTCTAAAAGTGAAAAATTTCAAAAAGTTCAATGAATATAAGATTGTTGGGGGACGGAATAGATCTGGACAAGGAGAAGAAGTCTGGAGATAAATGTGAGAAGGGAAGGACGGGCAGTAGAAACAAAAGTGAAACTGTTTGAGCAGCATATTCCAGAAGTCTTGAGGTCTTTCTGAGTGTAGCCTTCATTGATTTGAGATCTACCATACCATTCTCTCACTAGAAGGGAAAACCTTTAATGGCAGCAGGTTGTAAAAGAGACCCAGTTTGGGAATATTTTAAATGAAGTTCCTCTACCTGTGGGTAAGACAGATGTGTGCAAAATGCAAACAGTGCAACAAAGAAATGCAAGGCCTGGTTGCCCGAATGAAACAACATCATGAGAAGTGTTCCTTCTCAGGAGGAAGCTAAGTTGAAGACGATGAAAGGAACATGTCTGAACACGCAGGATCTTCAGGTTGGTCAACTTTTTTATTTCATACTTCTTTAAGGACTGCCAGTGTTCCTTATGGACTATTCTTGAATTCTCATGTTTGAGAAAAAAAAATATATATATATATATAGATATAGTTGTTACTCTATGGTACTATCATTTTAGATGCAGTTGTGATAAAAAAATAGCTGAAATAGGCAGATCTTCCTTTTACAATTTCACCTTTAAAGTAGTACTGACTGTGAATGCAATGAGAAATACTAAATGAGCAGTATGGTAATAATAAATAACTGCATTGACTTATTTTGTTTAGGAGAATCCATCCTCAACATACAGGATTCTGAAGACTATCCACCTTCAAGATCACCATCATTTTCTATAGTTTCAGAGTTATCTGCCAATTATAGTGTTTCAGTCACATCATGTATGGCACATAGCCACAGTATATCACCTGTAGCAAAACAAAAAAACAAAATCTCCATCATCCAGAAACAACCATAGATAAGTTTGTGATAAGACCCAGCAGATTACAAAAAGAGGTAACTGATGAAAAAATTGCCCGGTTTGTTTATGCAACAAACTCTCCTTTCCATATGATTGAGAACCCACACTTCATTAACAGTTCAGTCATTAAGACCAGGATACAGTCCACCCAACAGAGCAGAGATCGTAGGCAAATTGCTGGATAAAGTGTATGAAAGAAATTGAGCAGTGTGCAAAAGGTCTATAGGGTGAAATTGTTAACCTGAGTGTGGATGGGTGGAGCAATATCCACAATGATCCTGTTGTCACACAAGCACATACAACAGAAGAAAGGAATGTCTTCCTTACAGAAACAATTGATACATCAGGAAATGCGCACACAACAGAATACTTACAAGTAGCAGCAGTAAAAGCTGTAACAAACTGTAGAAAAAAAAATTCAAAATGTCTAGTATGCAGCTTGGTCACAGAAAATGCTGCAAATGTATCCGAGAAAAAATTATTAGAAGAGAGTCCCAAGCTAATAAACATATGGTTGCAGTGCTCATTTGATGCACCTCCTAGCCAAAGACTTCAGTGTTCCAGAAATAAAGGCTAATGTTGTTGAAATTGCAAAATACTTCCGTAACAATCACTTTGCAGCCGCTGCTCTGAAAAAAGCGGGAGGAACCAAGCTAACTCTCCCACAAGACGTGTGATGGTACTCAGTAGTGTACTGTTTTGAGTACTATATCAAGAACTGGCCTAATCTGATGACAGTTTGTGAACAATATCGTGAAAAGAAAAAAAAAAATAGATGGCACTGTCACAGCCAAAGTTCTCAACATTGGGCTTAAGAGAAATGTTGAACACATGCTGAGTACCCTGAAGCCTATTTCTGTAGGCTTGAACAAAATGCAGGGAAATAGATGTTTTATTGCTGACGCTGTTGAAATTTGGAAGGAACTGAGTGAGATCTTAAAAAGAGAAATATGCAATGACAGAGTTAAATTACAAGCATTAAAAAAAACGAATGAGACAAACACTATATCCAGCTCATTTTCTTGCAAATATTCTTAATACTTGGTACCAGGGTCAAACCTTAACTGCTGAAGAAGAGGAGTTAGCTATGACATGGACATCCAGCAATCATCCCTCCATAATGCCAACTATAATAAAAACTTCAGAGCTAAGGGTGAACCATTAAAAAAAAATATATATGTTTGCTGATGTTTTAAAGAAAGTCATACCAGTGACTTAAGCATTTGGATTCAGAGACTGTTGAAGTGATAATCTCACTTTTAACAGCAGTAGCATCTTCTGCCGGTGTAGAAAGAATATTTTCTTCCTTTGGACTAATTCATTCCAAATTGAGAAATCATTTGGGACCTGAAAAAGCAGGAAAGCTAGTTTTTCTTTTCCAGATTATGAACAAAACAGGAAAATGAAGGTGAAGACGACTGAGTTAACTACAGAAGCCAATATTTTAAGTTTCTCATGTTGACCTGGCTGACATAGTCGATGAAATATTTAAAAATAAATAAAATAAATTTAACTATTTTAGTTCAAAACAATTTTAACAAAAACAAACCTGATTTTAAAAAACCTGAATGTTTAATTCAAAAATTCATATGCTTGTTTTGTTAAACTATTATATGTTTGCTGTTGAAGAAAAAAACCCAGAATACATAACGTTGTTGTTTTAGTTAAATAAAACAATTTAAATGTCTGTCTGGTGATGTTCTCCTCCTAATACAGCATGGCAAGAAAATCCTCCAAATATTAATGATTAACCTGTTAAACTGGAGATAGTTAGCCTCCCAATGACTTCATAAATATCTTTTTCAATTACCTTTGGTAAATAAAATAACCAAAAAATCATTCATTTTCTGATATAGCTGTAAAATTAATCTGAAGTTTTCAAAAATAAATCACTTTAAAAATGTATAATGTGTACCTTCTAAAAATGAAACCTACATCTATCTCTGAGTTGTGAAGAATATGTATTAAGGTTATAACAACCAACAAGAATGCACTTTTATGTAGAAATCCATGATTAAATCGAGTCTTCCTGACTAGTGATTTAAATCAAATCCACCCTGCTTATGAAGAAAAGAAAATTGGTTCAGTTATTAGAAGGATTTAAGATAATTTGATTCAGAAAGATCACCTACAAAATTAATGTTAGCTACCTGCCCTTTCTGGAAGTCTGGATTACCATTTAGAAGCAACACTGCAGGGTTGCCTCACAAAAGGGGCTCAGGACACCAATTTGGTATTGCCTAGGGTGTTGAATATTTTTCCAAACTGCTAAGAAGTGCCTAAGCACATAGAGGGTTTTGTAGAATCTTCTGAGTCCACCTCTGTTTTTAATATAACTTAATTATTCCAGAGCTCTTAGCCAGCTGAGACTATTTCTGAACTAGTTGTAGTGTCCAGTGGGGCCTGCTGGCCCAGCAATAATTAGGAGAGTCCAGCATGCAGATATCATGTTGTTTATGACCCCAGAGAAAAACAAGAACATTGAGAGCTAATATTTTTAACAGGAGCTCTACAAGTTATATGTGATCACCTGGACCAGAGATAGGAAGTGTGATAGCATATTTATTTTAAACATTGTTTCTCCAGAAAGGATAAACTGTTCAGTTCTTTTTGTAGTTTTTCCTCGCATAGTTGTTCTAGTTTCAGATATTCCCTTCATGCCCTAATAAAAGCCTGCCTTACTTGAAAAAATTAATTTAGAAAAATATTAGTACATTTTAAAGGAGTCCTATCCAGTCCTACTTGGTCAAGAGGATGAGACCAAAAGGAAATTTATGGACAAAGAAGATTCGGGGATACTCAGAACTATCGGGAAAGAAAAGCCCACCAAGAAAAAAAGCACAGCATATTTCACAAAAGCAGGCAGCTTTCAGCATGCACATCACAGCTAAAGATGCCTGGGAGTATAAAGTTTTCCAGATAGGAGAAATGAGAGGCAACATCCTTCCTCTCTAAAAAATGGGCTAGTCTCCAGTTTGTGCTCTTCTGCACCTTTTCTCTGTGACGTTTATCTGGCCTCTGTTAATGGAGTATCTGAGCACCTCAGTCATTAATGGAATTATCCTCACAACATCCCGGTGAGGGAGAGCAGTGCTATTCTCAACTTTGTACAGGTAGGGAACTGAGGCAGAGAGCGGCTGAGGCGGCCAAGGAAACACAGGGAGTCTGTGAAAGAGCAAGGAATTGAACCTGTATCTCCCGAGTCCCAAGCTAGCACCCTAACCACTGGACCTTCCACTTCCCTCTTACGGCAAAGTAGTACACTTCCTCCACATCCATCACTGCCCAAGATGTAACCAAATGTTAATAAGAGGCCAGGGATAGGTGCTAAATGCGGTGGCTTTAACAGGTGCTCTCCTCACCCCTTGGGAAGTTACCTTAGCACTGCATTTGGTTGTTGTTCACAGTTCAGGTCTCTTTAAAATGGTGTTTTCTGAAAGCACTCCAGTACTTTACTGCTACTCCACTGCACATCAGATGCTTATTTCTCATGAGATAGCACTCTGTACACATTCCAGATCCAAAGCCTAGTGAGGTCAATGGAAATGCTCCCATTGGGTCAGGCCCTAAGAGACAAGCCAGACTCCTTTACAGTATAGTTATTTTATTAACTGTATCTGTGCTACTTACCAATGGCAGGAAAGTTCTTTCTGTATGTGAACCAAAGCCGAGATGTCACATCCAACAGGATCTCCTCTTTCTCTGAAGAATTTTCAGAAATAAACACATGTAACATCCCTGAGAAAGGCATCAACCCTACCTAAATCCCCATCACTTAATAACTTTCACTGATGAAAGTGCCTGGCTTGACAGGAGCAGGGGGACTATTGCATGAAGGATGGACCAGTCAAAGATCCAGCCTACAGGGCAGGAGAGGCCTGGGAAGAAAAAACAGGGCCATGTTTGGGGAAAACAGTCTTTACTACTTCAGTCTCTCCTTTCCAGTGTTAGTCTTCCCTAGTTTTAAGCATCACGACCCTGTATCTCCAGCCAGGAAGGTGGAAGGAGAGGGTGTACTACAACCCCTGTAGCCAAAAAAAAAAAAAAAAAAAAGACGACAATTTTCTCCAAAAATGCAGCAGGAGTGTCTGAAGGCAGCAGGAAAGGCTATCCTGACAACATGCAGGGGAACACACAACTGCATGTACTGTAAGCAGAATGCCTATAAACTAGCAAGCAGGGGCTGCACTTCTTCAGGATGCTACTTAGAAAAAGCTGGGATTACGTAAAAGTTCAAAACACTACATGGGATGGTTAGATGTATGTAAAGCCCTCATGCCCTGAAAAGCACTGCTTAAGTACTAGCATGTGAGTGAATTACCTGTGAACACACTGTATGTTCTCCCCAGTATCCAAACAGGCTCTTTGGTCTCAGGGAAGTCTTCATACTCAAACCTGAGAGTATCATAGGTCAGAGTAGCTGGTGAGAAACAGAAATCACATGCATTGTGGTTTGTTTTTTTCTGGTGTAAGCAGAGTCAGGATGAGCTCTACCCTGACATCTGGTGGTGAATTATGGCGAGTGTGGAAAAGAACTCCAGGGGCTGATCTTGTTTGCATAGGCACACCCACTCGCCTGGCATGAAACACAACAACTGAAAATGGTTACTTTGGCTGGTGTGGGATCCCCAGTTTCTCTATTATTGGGGCGGGAAGAATAAAGTTTTGTTACCCTGATTCTGTGAATCAAGGCCAGTGGAACTGTTGTGTGACAGAAGGACTGAGTGAGTCCCTCACCATTACCTAAGTAGCACTTGCTTGACAAGGGGCATGGGTTACAAAACCCAGTGAATGGAGAGAGGACGGGGACAGGTATTTGTACCTGATGGTATGGGCCCCCTCTGAGGGTCCGAAACACCAATTGCACCACCTCCTCTCTCCACTGTTGAATGTCAGAGCTAACTTTGATTCCCTTAGGAGTCTAGTTACAGGCTGCGGAGCTGAATTCACTTTGGGCCAATGGTGCACCAGCACTGGGGCTCCCCTACTATACTATGAGCTGAAATCACTAAGAGCTGAAATCACAAAAGAGCTGATGTTATTAAGAGCTGAAATCACTGAGTGCTGTGTTAACTAGTGGGGGAGCCTGAAGCTATATTGCTCAGCAGCTGGCAGAGCAATTTGTGGGGACGACTGGAGGAGCAGCGAGCGGCGTGGAGCCTTGCGGGGCCGGTTGGAGTGGCCTAAGGAACGGCGAGCGGAGCTGTTTGCGGGGACGGCTCACAGGTCGGTGAGCGGAGCGGAGCAGCTTGTACAGCGGAGCAGTTCGTGGGATGGCAGGAAAGTGGACTGGCTCGTGGTAAAGGCTGCGGCGGAACCCCCACGGAGAAACAGACGGCTGGCCAGCCTCGGATCACGTAAGGTGCCCCTTAACACCCTGCGTGCCCCCCCCCCCTTTTACTCTGGGACTGCACTGACCAGGGACAGAGACTTTGGGGGTTGTTGGACTTTTGGGACTTTGGGTGGTTGCTGGACCCAAGAGACTTTGGGGGTGTCGGACTTTGGGGACTCTGGGTGATTTTTGGTTTGCTGGATTCAAGAACCAAAGGGAAAGGACACAGCCCAATTTGCTGGGGTGGGTTTTGCTCATGGTTTGTGTTGTGAATCCTGTTTGTGGTGTTTTTTCCAATTTTATGCTGATGTCGTTTACCTCATGTTATTAAACATTTTCTGCTACACTCAGACTCCGTGCTTGCGAGAGGGGAAGTATTGCCTCTTAGAGGTACCCGGGGGGGGTGGTATGTAATTGTCCCAGGTCACTGGGTGGGGGCTCGAGCCGGTTTTGCATTGTGTTATTGAAACTGAACCCCTAGATACAGAACCCGGCCCTTGTTGCTGCCAACTAGATGGGCAGAAGGGTTACACTGGTTTAAAATAATGTAAGATATAGTAATACAGGATGGATCACTTCACAATTCTAATGTTATAGTAACATGCATACATGTTGAGCAGCTGGTCTGAGCTCTGGTAAGAGCTCTATTGATCACAATAATAAATACCACCTAGCTCTTATATAATGCGTTTCATCAGTCGATCTCAAAGCACTTTATAAAGGTGCTAAGTATCATTCCCATTTTACAACTGGGGAAACTGAGGCACAGATTGGGGAAATGAGTTGCCAATGTCACTCAGTCGGGCTATTAATAGAGTCAGGAACAGAACACAGGTCTCTCTCCTGTGCTCTACCCATTAGACCACAGTGCTTTGATGAAATCAGCAAGCTATGAAAAATTACTACATCAATGAGGAAAAGCTCAGGATTGAACCAAAACACAGGAATTGCCAAACTTGATCAGACCCAAGTTCCATCTAGCCCAGTACCCTGTCTCTGACAGTGGCCAGTATCAGCTGCTTCAGAGGAAGGGGTAAGAACCCTGCAACAGGCAGATGTGAGATAATCTGCCCCTTCCCGACATAGGTCTCAACCTGGTCTCTAATAATATGAGATTGGTTTAAACCCTGAAGCAGGAGGTTTAATATCCTTCTGGAATTTCCAGGTTTGTTAATAACAAGTCCCTTCTTCCCCAAGTAAATGTTTTTTGGTGGTGCACTCAGAAGCCTAGGATTAAATGAACAAAGATAGTAGATAATGTTTTCACCCCTCAGCTCACAGAGAGCCGAGAAGTACTAAATATCCCTCTCAAAGATGATCAGTCCCTTCTGAGGGTTCTAAAAATTGCCCCTTTGTTAGAATCAAACATGCAAAGGTCTTTTTTTTTTTTTTTTTTTTAAGCAAAGAGTCTGCAGGGTGGGGAAAAGGTGAGACGATGTTCTTTATCCATGTCACACGATAAGTCATGGGAAACAATGGGAGCTATGCTGAGGCATCCAATCTAGAGGTTGCAGGCTTGTATATGATCCATTCTACTAGTTTCCTTCAAAACATGACCTTGCTCAGTACTTAAACATCCGTCTTTTCTAACATAAGTATCCAACTCTGACTGCGCATTACAAAACAATCCAGCAGTGCAGTCTATTGCAAGGCATTCCCAATCAGGGCTGTGGTCCTCTCCACAGGAGTGACCAAACAAGCTGTTGGGAGCTTCTGAACAATGTTTTAGTGGAAACAGGGCTCCACTATGTGCCTTGGGAACAGCTGATCTGAGCTTCAAGGAAAATGCTCCTAATAAAAGTGTGTCAGAAGATTCAGTTCAAATCACTTTTTACTTGCACGTGTTATTCTTGAATAAGCTTGAGCAAGCTACACATCAAATTGTAACAGCTTTACTTAGTTCTACTGTACAGACAAGGTAGTCTCAGCAGCTATTTTAGCTGACACAAGATTCAATAAATTACCCAGTGATACACCTGACATGAACACCACACAGCACACTCCATTTCCCTCTGTAACTGGGGGTGTAACCTCTTAGCTTTCTGGTGTGACTCAGTGGCCATTTCTCAGTCGCCACCTGTGCTGCTGATTTCACTGTCCTTCATTTTAATTTTATGAGTAGAATTCAATATACTCAAATTCAGTTTTCCCTGATCTTAGAAATTGGTGGTTTATCACCACTGCATTTAGGGCTTGCCTACACTTGAAGGTTAGTTTGGATTAAGTTAGATTATGAATTTAAAACAATAGATATTTGTGAACAACACTGTTTAGACAAGCCCTCAGCCTTGCTAAATGTTACCCCAGTTTTACAGGTGTGGTCAATAACTCCTCTACAGTTTATGCTAAGAAAATATAATAGCGCACAGAGGGTCACAAAGAGATTCTACTCCTCCTTTTAGCCATATATGTTAATCTATATTACATTCAGAAAACAAGACAAACAAGATGTTTTTGTCAATGAAACCCCACAGGTCTCACTTGGATCTTCTGCCCCCTGGTCTTTCTAACCTGGAATATCATTATCTGAGTGTCAAGGGGAAAACAAAAGCAGCAGAAAACTGCCATCACTGGGTTAAACTGTAGTTTTCTTTAAGGAATGGGGCCCTGTCTACCTAAATGGGGGACTAATTCCAAATTAACACCTGATTGGCCAGACAAGCAAGTAGATTATCTGTACTAAAGTTCTCAAACTTTTTCACAGTATGGACCACATCTTAATAAAGATAATGGTCCTCTCTTCCCATGGGCTACAGCTCCCCTGCAAGCACAGCAATTCTTTACATATTAATATTTTCCTATGATGTAGCAGCCAGAAAAAAGGATTAGAGCCAGACCCATGTAACAAGCCAGGTTTTCAAGGACCACCAACAGTCAACAGGCCACACTTTGGTTTATCTTCTTTCACCTTCTCCTTACTACAACCGATTGATAATTGTGTAGACAGACAAGCATTGATAGCACAAAGTCCCTGTGTGTTTGGTGCTATTTCTGACAGATGGTATTTTCCTAAGCCTGTATTTTCAAGTCAAAAATAACCTTCTCCCTCTGTTTCTCCCTCACCCGACCCCGATTCACAGGCTTATTTGCAACCCAAAGGTGGATTTATTATTAAGTTTTGCAAAACTCTGTAGAGTCACTTGAGATTGTCTGAAAAGTGTTTTAACATAAATATTAGACTAGTTTTAGAGTTCATTATTCAGAGGGCTTATTTTTAGATTTTCAAACTTGCCATGGATCAAGCGCTCAGTGAAAATACTTGTTTAAGTAAATTAGAAAGACGGGGACTGTATTTACATAATACACGACTCTCCACTTTTCCCCCCTTTCATTCAGCAATATACATCTCTTCCCATATATCTCAAACACTGCACACTAAAAGCATGTGAGCTGGTTCAGATGGCCAAGTTAAACTTTGCCTAGAGAGTCTCTCTTACTCAGGGCTGCTCTGGAACCAACCTGCACCCTGGCAAGCCATCCCCCTCCCTTCCACCCCCACATTTATTTGAATTTCCAATTAATAGCATTCAATTTAAATTTCACATGTTCTGCAACTTTCTATTCTACAAGGGCACAAGGGTCACGTGATTTGAAGCTGTCAGACTGGTGAGTGAGGGACCTGCTGCTCCGATTCAATGAAAGCTGCCATGGGAAGAAGCTGCACACTACAGAACACAGTGTGCTCAGGGAATCCAAAGCCTCAGAGCACGCAACATTTTATTTGAACACAGTCACTATGCACACCCAGGACGACAGCTCCAAGGCCCCACTCCCGCAACTGGATCTGTGCACACAGTTCCCTGTGTCGGCGTGGAGCCCCCACTGGGCTCCCTGAAGATGCAGGGGTTCACCCATGGAGATCCAGCTGCACAACTGGAACCTCAGACTGCACACTCAACAGATGTCAGTCAGATACACCAGCACGTCTCTTGCTTATTAAAAAAGAAAACGCAGGTAATCAAATGTGAGACATCCATTCAACAGCATAGTCAAGAATTTACATGCAAGAGTCAAGACAGTCAAAGTTATGGTTCCTAGTGAGTATAATTATGACACATTGTACATTATAATGGGATTGCTAGTGCTCCAGGTATATTTAAGGTTACCAGAGCATTTTCACTATAAGCCCCATTTTCAGGTGATCATAACTTTCCAAAAGTTCCACCCATTGGGCTGAAATTCTCCAGACCTGGTTTACACCTAAAGGCAAATATCTAGACACATTTGAACAAAAGAGTTCTGCTATTTTTGAGTATGAGAAGAGTGGGAAAACATACATGAGTGTATTTTCTCCATTCTGGTTTTGTTTTGAGGTTTTTTTGGTAATTGTGCCCTTGAAAGCTTTAGAGTCAAAATGGCTGGAAATAATAGGTGGAAATTAGGCAGGCAAAAAGTCTTTTGGATGTTCACCTGAAAGTCAGTTGGGATTTGTCAGTTATGAGGTTTTGCACCTCAAGTTTTGAATGTATATTTTAACAATAATCTACGAGCATTCAGAAAGGGAGATAAGTTGCAATGGATACATGTGTGCAGATAACAGGTGCACATTGAATAGGTCAGCCCACTTTCATTCAGTGCATATTTATTGCCTATGCAGCTAAGGGGACCAAATGTGCCCACTACAAAGTTTTCAACTATGCAAAGCACACACTCAAGAAGGTAGAGCTGTCTTGTCTCATGAATCCAGGCATGTTGTGAACAAAGCAAGGCTGTACAGAGTCCTTGCCTTAGTGAGTGCACATCTTGCACAGGACATACCATAGCATTCCAGCAGCATCCCCCCAAAGAATCACTGATTATGGAATTTCTTTTCCCTTTTAACTTGACCTAGAACAAGCCATTAAAAAATTACATTGAGAATAGTTAGGGTTGCACAGTTCAGCACTCAAGTGAGGAAATACTAGTACCAATAAGACTGAACACAACCTACAACTGCTCCCTTTTACACAGGCATTTAAGACTAATTATATAACCTGCTTCCTCTCATAATACCAGGCATCTCTTACAGTCTTGTATGGTGTGCAGTGAATGAGCCCTTATCTGTCGGTGTGCATCTTGTATATAAATGACTTAGCGTCAGTTTATCTGGCATAAACTGGTAGGAGATCCTACACGTGGATGCATGTAAGGTTGTAAAACAACTGTATGATATTTCACTATTTCAGAAATATTATGTGATAATCAAAGACTATTTTAGTGCATAAGGTATGAAGTTAACATTGTGGGTGAAAACTTAGGGTATGTCTACACTACGAGGGTAATTCGATTTTACTTAAATCGAATATGTGGAATCGATATTGCAAAGTCGAACGTGTGTGTCC